CCCACATCTAACACGACTTCTACTTAGAGGAAGACAACCCCACATCTAACACGACTTCTACTTAAAGGAAGACAACTCCCACATCTAACACGACTTCTACTTAGAGGAAGACAACCCCACATCTAACACGACTTCTACTTAAAGGAAGACAGCTCCCACATCTAACACGACTTCTACTTAAAGGAAGACAGCCCCTACATCTTACACGACTTCGAGAATATTCGTTCGCTGATTTTCTGAATGCTTCACTTTGTCGTGCGCTGCGTAAATATAATTGACTCTTGCATTCTATTCGCAAATTTTTAGTTAGAGATATTTGTTCCAGAACTCTTTCTTAAAAGTAATATTGAACAGTATAATTCAGATTAACTTATAAATTGAACCACAAAAAAAAACACCCAATAAAACATTAAAAACTGAACCATTAAATCACTATGCCATTAATTTTTAAAATTGAACTAAAAAAAGAATTAAAAAATGAACAATAACAACACTACACTTAAAACTAAACAATTAAAATAGCAAACGAATTCGTTTGGTTCCACGACCTTGTTTTCTAGAGTTTCCATGTCCACGACCTTTAACTTTATTTTGACCTTGACCCTTCTTCTGACTTTGACTTTGACCTTTGTAGTAAGACTTTTGATTGTTCAATTTATCAATTATCTGTTCAAATTTAGAATCTATTTTGGAGACAAACTCCTCCAATTGCTTCAACGTTTTTTCAACGTCTTTTGTAAAATCACCCGCCCTCAATTAAGAGTGTATCACAGTTAGTCAAGGTTTCGTATTTGTGGCGGGTATGACTCTTAAGGGTGTACTCTTCTGAGGTTTCAATCACGTTCAAGTCTCGTTTTGATCTGGTTTAACGGGTTTTTGTAATATTTAACAAATTATGATCTAGTTTAATAGCAAACACGAATCTGAAAGATATGTCAAAAAGCTAGATGTCTGGTGTTTGTAGAATTATTTTACAAGAATTTAAAAAAATGACCAATTCGGCGGCCATTTTGAAAATGTGTATTAATGTGTTTTTCTAGCGCTTCACAAAAGGCCAAAATTTCACCTTTTTTGACACTAGATTGATCACTTAAATTGTCATTGTGTCGCCATTTTTAATTGCACAACTTTATAATGTTCAATATGATAAAAATAATATGCAACAAAGTGGAAAATTATACATTATTGGTATATTTTTTTTTACATATTTAGTGTATATGAAACACTTTTGATTTTTGACCCCCAANACCCCCACCCACCCATTTTTGTGGCTGTTTTAGAAAAAGAAACACATTTTCTTTTTATTAACAAAATATTAAAATAACCACAAAAAAACAGAACTTTTTATATCAAGCGTTTAATCTGCAAATAATGGTGAAAAATTAGTATTTTTTCATTAAAAAATAAGGGGGATGGGGTAACTTAAATCGCCTTTCTTAGTTTGGCCCTTGCAGTTCGTACACACTGCTTACATCAGTCAACCAATCATACACGCGCACATAAATACGTAATAACAATGTTTGACTCATAAAAGAAATAATTGATAATGCATTTGTGTCGAATCAACAATGACATTTCCCGAAATTCGACCCGATATTTCAGGATGGAACAGAAATTAAGACTTTATATCGATATAAGTAGGCACGGTAGTCTAGTGGTAGGATGCCGGGCTCGTGACCGAAGGGGTGCGGGTTCGACTCACGACACGGCACTGTGTTGTATCTTTGAGCAATAAACTTTACTCTGCTTGTTCCAGTCTACTCAGCTGTAAATGAGTACGTGGTTGGGCAGGCCTAGCATTTTTGAATGCTAGCTGTGAGCGCCGAAATGGCAACACCGGCTGTATGCTGAATGGCGAAAGATATTGGCTGGTTGCAGAGGCCCTATAACCACGGATAATAATTTGTGAACCGCTTTGAGACGACCTACGAACTAGGTTGCGATACAGCGGTATATAAGAACCTCTAATTATTATTATTAAATAACGACCATGTCATGTATTACAATGTTCTTTACCCCCATTTTATTTAAACACTAATACCTTTATACATTTACATCGATATATCGTCAAATATGAACGTTATTTGTTTTATAGCAATTACCAAACAGATTTTCCCCCAACTTAACTCAATCATTCTTTTTGTGCCCTGACGGAAGTGCGCAGGGGATTAATTCTAGAAGTTTCCTGTTGAGCGTTCGCATCATTTGCATCTGGTGGGTGCTGGCTCGTGCTGATCAGCCAACTCTTACCCTGGACAGCTCTATCTTACACACAGGGAAATGAGATAATAAGGATATCTCACACCGGTAAAAGTGCGGTTACACCTGTCCAGAGTAAGAGAATATCAGACTCATTCATGTCCGGGGGTGAAGGATAGGGGAATTCTACCGAAGGGTTTTCTAATTTGGTAACACTCGAGGCTTTCCAACCACCAGAATAACCCAAGAAACCATGAAAATGCATTTGGACTGGCCACCATTTTGAAAATATATAATTTTTTTCCCCTGAGCTTTTTAGACAAAAACGAATCAGCCTGCCAGATTAAGCATATCATATATTTGCAAACGATGTTTGCGCAGAAAAATTAATCTTTCTTACGTGTACGGTAAATATATCGTAAAATGTTTTTATTTCATCACGTCGCCTTTTCCGCATTACGGCATCGGAGAGTTCCAAATTCGTGACGTCACGTCATTGTTGAGCCATTGTGACGTCACGTCACGTGAAATGTGGTGTTAGATAGAAATGTATCGCATACTTCACAGGGTGATCCCGTTGTTGCTAGGGAAAAGATAAGTAGAATTTTACATGGGTCTGTTCCGTGGACAGGGATATCTCAACCCGAGTGTAAGAGTTTGGCTGGTTAGCACGAGGCTTGTACTGATGTAATGATAACGTTACATTCTAAATTCAGGGTTGACGTGACGCTGATGGATTGTTGACGTAACGTCATTGTATTGTTGAAGTGACGTCATAGCATTGTTATGAATAGGGGATTCCCGCGTCTCAACTCTGTGATATATCATTTTCTCACCTTAGGGTTGAGACGGGGGATTCCCCGATTCATAACAATGGTATGACGTCACTTCAACAAATGAGAAAATGATATCTCACACCGGTAAAAGTGTGGATACACCTGTCAACAGGGTAAGAGAAAGTCTTATGTTTCATGCTTTATGAAGTCATAATTAAGCTGGTTCCAACGTGGGCCGAAATTATCTGAAAACCTGTCCGAACTTACCCAAAGGCGGGGCTCACTCGTCCATTCATGCTTCTAACAGGGACAGTTAAATAAGTCTTCAAAAGCGGATGTGGCGGTTTGCCATAAACCAACCATGTCTGCCAAGAACTTGCCCCAGTCTCCCTTAATTTTCATGTCGGTCTGTATCTGTATCTGAGTATAAATTCCAGGGTTGGAGGAGTGCGCTTATAGTTTATATTGTTTCAGTTTGTAGTGCTGTCTTGAAGCTTTTAAGTTCTTGCATTTTGACGAGGTTATTCCACTCTGTTGTTGTTCGAGGAAAAAACGAATTATTCAATATGTCCGTATTACACTGGAAATGTCGGTAATTTTCACTATTTTTTGATCTGGTACGGGTGTTTGATGAAGTCAATATGTGATATACAGGTATGGCCACTAGCCCCTACACGATCTTATAAAAAAGGGCAAGCCGATAGTCTCGCCTACGATCCTTTAGTGGTGTTAGTTTTAGAGTGTCCATCATTTCTGTTACACTGCTGTCCCTTCTATAGTTTGATGTTATAAATCGGACAGCGCGGCGTTGTACCTTTTCCAGCGAGTGGATGTTGTTTTGCTGGTAAGGGTCCCATATCGTGCAGCTGTATTCCAGGACAGATCTCACCAACGATTTGTATGCGGTCAGTTTCAGTGACGCTGGGCACTTTCGCAGGTTTCGTCTTAGGAATCCGAGAGTGGAATTTGCCTTGTTGGTTGTGATACGGATATGAGAGTCCCACTTAATGGAGTTGAAAATGATCACCCCCAAGTATGGATTTTCTTCCACTTCTTTGAGTAATTGGCCCGACAGTTGGTAGTCGTAGGCACTAGGCGACTTGGATCTTGATGTTCTCAGGATATAACATTTAGACGCGTTGAAAGACATACCCCATTTCGTTGCCCATTCTTCCAAGGACTTGTTGTCTTTTTGAAAGTCCAGATGGTCTTGGAGGCATCGAATTGGACGGTATAGCAGACAATTATCAGCGAATAGACGTACAGTAGATGTTACGCAGTCTGGCAAGTCATTGATGTGGCAGAGGAAGAGTATTGGTCCCAGGACCGTCACCTGGGGAACCCCTGAATCTACCTTCACTCGTGTTGAATGGCTGCCGTCTACAAGTACTCGTTGGGTCCGTGATGTCAGGAAGGTCTTGATCCATTGTAGGACGTCGGGGTTCACACCAAAATTCTCTAGTTTATACAGGAGTTTTGAATGGGGAACCTTGTCGAAGGCCTTACTGAAATCCAGGATCGCAGTGTCCACTTGTAGCTTCCTGTCGTACATGCTGGTGATGTCATAGGTGGTAATCAGCAGCTGGGATTCACAGGAGTGTCCTGACCTGAAGCCATGTTGTAGATGTGTCAGTATGTTGTATTCCTCGAGATGGTTCCTGAGGTGGCGGCAGATAATATGCTCAACCAGTTTACAACACACACACGTGAGCGACACTGGCCTGTAGTTGCTGGGTTAATGGCGGTTACCCGTCTTAAAGAGTGGAGTGATGTTGGCATTCCTCCAGTCATCAGGGAGTTCACCGGTCAGAATCGATTGTTGGGATATATGGGTCATTGCCGGGGCAAGTTCGATTGAGAACCGTTGAAGGACACGATTTGGAAGGTTGTCTGGACCGCTAGCCTTACTGACTTTGATTTCGCGGATCAACTTTTCAACTCCCTTCTCATCTATAATGAGGTTCCTCATAATTGGATACTTGGGTGTGGTGAGAGGTGGAAGATCCGGATTGGGGGGATCCTTTGTGAACACCGACTGAAACTGTCGATTTAGGGCCTCTGCCTTGTCTGTACTGAGTAGTTTGTTACCCTCTTTTAGTGGAGCAATTCCGATGTTGTCCTGCTTCCTGGCCTTGATGTATCGCCAGAAGGGTTTGTTGTTTTTCTGCTCAATTCCTGCCTGCAATGTACGCTCTAAGTGGGACCATTCTGCGGTTCGGAGAGCCTTTTGGGTTTCTCTTTTGTGGACTCTGTACGCACGCCAGTCAGCATCCTTTCCACTTTTCCTAGCCTTGTTGTAGAGGCGATGTTTCCTCTTTATGAGGCGGCGTTCTGGTCTGCCAACCCATGGTAGCTGATTTGGTTTCACGGAGGTCAATTTGGATGGAATGATGTCTTAAAATCTCATTTAGAGCTTGTGTTTTTATTGTTATTCATCAACTCGCCGACTTTACATAAAGCTTATCTGATCCGAATAAGTAAATATCAGAGATTAACAAAAGCTACGCTCTTTTTAGGCTTTGCCTTTTCATATTGATACTTTAAATATTGACAGAATTCAAAGTGGATTGCTTCAGTTGCTGAAATCAGAGACGTATAATACATTGTGTATTTATACGTCTCTGCTGAAATGTATAGTATATCTACATTTTAATGTGCTTTTGTGACGTTGAAGCTCGGGTTTATCACAAAAGATCCTCTATCAGAAATGGACGAAACTTACTTAGAATCGGGTGTGATAAACAGACGTGTTCCACACCGTGACACAAAAGAATGGGAGGGGATCCTTAACGCTCTCGAATCGGAGTAGTCGCCCTTTATTACTATTGATATGATGGCGCCGCGACTGAACATGTGACCAACATCTGATGACGTAGCAGGTAAATAAGCAAAATATCAACAAAGTATCGTGACAGCGGAAAAGTAACTGCGCCAAATCTCCGAGCCAGCAGAAAACGTCAATTGATGGCTTCAACACAACGAGCCGATGTGTCAGAGGATCTTCACGGTATGAACTTCATTCTTAGCAGTATGAAAGAAGCGATTGCGTCGATTTGTAGAGAGTGAATGTGGAAGATTTGGCGTTAAAATTATCATCGAAAGTCGGTCAGGGTTGGGTTCATTGTTTTCGCGTACAGCTTACATCTCATAGAGAGGGGATCAATAGTCCAAGTTGTGTGATGGCGTTTGTTTTTAGAAAAGTTGTTGCTAAAAGCTCTGGTGTAATAAAATATAGTACATGTACAGTAGACACTAAAAACACAATGCTATCTATCAACTCATAACTGTCAGATGTATGCGGCAGCACTAGTAGGTATGCAATCCCTGAATCCGTCAAAACGTTGTAGTTTTGTACATAACATATTAGTGTACAAATTTAATTTCCATAGAATTACATTTTTTTATCAGTATTCAACAGATCATTGATGTCCAGGTTTTGTCAGTTGGTCTACTTTATATACATGATTAGATCTGTTATTTTATTGGCGATTTAAACAAATACTAATAATGAAAATTGATTTCTGTATAAGTATTAAAGTAAGTTGTGTTACTGACAGCTTTATAGATGCATTTGTTTAAAATAAAAAGGGGGTGGCACGATTTATCCAAAAAGACCCCAAAACACCCCAAAAACATGAAATGTACGTAAGTATACCCAGATGTATGGTGGCATATTTCTGCCATCCACTTGCGACTTACGAGTTACGTATGTCGACATAATTATTGAAAGATGTCGACATAATCTGAGAAGATGTCGACATAATCTGAGAAAATGTCGACATAACTTTTAAATTATGTCGACATATTATCACATTTGCCGAGATAATTTTGCCGAGATAATTATCTCGTAAGTGGGTAACTCGGCTTTTTATCGTGTTAATGCTCGGGTGTGACATCGACTTACGACTTGCCACTTACGACTTATTTATGTAAAATCCCTCTTTGATTGATAAACTCTGTACATCATAGTAACCTACTGTAATATCCATATCTTTGATTTCCCATATTTACATTGATTTTACCAAGTTACTCACCAGTATAGTCACCACTGTTCAGTCACCATCAGCCCACCTTCGCGGTCCTCGTGCACAAGCCTCGTTTTGGTAAGTCGGCAATAATCTACTAGGATGTCGACATAAATAAGTCGTAAGTGGCAAGTCGTAAGTGGCAAGTCGATGTCACACCCGAGCATTAACACGATAAAAAGCCGAGTTACCCACTTACGAGATAATTATCTCGGCAAAATTATCTCGGCAAATGTGATAATATGTCGACATAATTTAACAGTTATGTCGACATCTTCTCAGATTATGTCGACATATTCTCAGATTATGTCGACATATTCTCAGATTATGTCGACATCTTTCAATAATTATGTCGACATACGTAACTCGTAAGTCGCAAGTGGATGGCAGAAATATGCCACCATACAGATGTATATATACTTCTGCTACCTGACATTTTTTGGGGACATATATATGTAACGTAATGATATAATGGTGAAGCAGGTATTATTAACTATACATATCTTTCGCAGCATAATCAAATATACATTTTAGATTTAAGTTAAAACTGTGTCCATGTAACGACAAGATCACAGTATTACATAAAAATGGTTACATTATGTGTGGTACTGTGTGATCATCAATCCTTTTGGTATAAATTTGAATATCTTGCTATTGTCAGAGACATAAATTACAGATAGGCAATTTGCTCTTTGCCTTACGATTGGTCACGGTAATCATATGGCATAACGCTATCTGTTCGGACTTACACGCAATGTTCCAATTGAATTAGTACATATATAATGATCGAGTCTAGAGAATTTCCGGACCTAAGCAAGTCACGCTTCACCTGTGCCATATTGGATAATAATAATGCTGTGAGAAAACATCTAAAATCCACGTCAGTATGATTATATTTAAACCATGAGTAGCTAGCTGAGATTTCCATGCCTTTTTTTGGGGAGTGCTCCATTGAATGTTAGCTCGAATAAATGAGTTTGGAAAACTAAAATCAAAAAATTGTCAATGCATGAAAGATTATTGCTACATATGTTAACATATCAGAAATGATTCTGACTTCAGGAGAACACATACTCCATTTCCATTCTTTAGACAATTTCAAAAACATCTTCAGCTATTTATAATTATTATTTGTTAGTATTTCTAGTCAGCTTCTTAATATGAACATATGTTACAATACTTGTAAATTTTACTAATTTAGCTCTGAAATTACAGTGTTTTCAGAGTAAACAAGTTCAGACTTTGATGTGTGTGGGGTATTTTTTTTCTTATGCCCATGAAAATATGTACTCCAGCCTTTCTTGTTCATTATTTAATTTCCAAAACGTCTTCAGAATTAAGTATTTCTAGCCAGCTTTGCAATATGAGCATGTTACACTAAAGTTTGATAATTATATATTTATTGTATGCTTGAAAATTTCTCACAAGCACATTTGACGGATCCTATACATGTAGACTGGTTAACTGGTAAATACAGTGTATGGCCTAAATACAGTGTATAGCCTAAATACAGTGTATAGCCTAAATACAGTGTATAGCCTAAATACAGTGTATAGTCTAAATACAGTGTATAGCCTATATACAGTGTATAGCCTATATACAGTGTATAGCCTTAATACAGTGTATAGCCTAAATACAGTATATAGCCTAAATACAGTGTATAGCCTAAATACAGTGTATAGCCTATACGGAAATTCCCCGCAACATGTCGTAGCACTTGCGCAGTTAGACCGGAACGCGATCTGTCAGACGACAACAGAAGATGGCTGCTGGTGAACGTTTCTCCATGTTAAATCTGAAAAATTCCAAAAACTACTCGAGGATAACGATGCTGTTAACATAAAAAAGGCCACCAAACAAGCAGTGCATGTCCTCCATGCTTATATTATCTTAAGAAGAACAACCTCAACGATGTCTTCAAAAGCTACGATGCTGAATTGTTGGCTAAATTTTACACGGAGGCTCGCCTAAAAAAATCAGAACCTTGAGTTTTGTTTTGTTTTGTTTTATTTTATTGTTGAAGCATACAATAAAACCGTTATGGGCTTTTGTGCTGGTAAATATGATGTGATATGAACCTGAAAAAGTGATATTAAACTTGGCTTCGCCTTGGTCAATATCACTTTTTCAGGTTCATATCACATCATGTTCACCAGCACGAAAGTCCATAATTAATTGTGTAATATAATGTCTCTCTAAAAGTAGAGTGTTTTCAGAAGAAACAAGTTAAGATGGCAACTTTGATGTGTGAGGGGTATTTTTTTCTTATGCCACAGGAAAATACATACTCCTTTATTGTTCATTATTTAATTTCAAGACCTTCTTAAGATATTTAGTATTTCTAGCCAGTTCTGCAATATCAGGATGTTGCAATACTTGCAAAGTTTAATAACTTAGCTCTGAAAATACAGTGTTTGCAGAATAAACAAGTTAAGACTTTGATGTGTGAGGGTTATTTTCATGACAATACCTACTCCTTTCTTGTTCATTATTACATTTTAAAAAAAAATGTCTATATATATGTCTAGGATATGTGACAAATCCTCACAGGAAACACATGTACACTGACCTGGGCCCATATTCAAGAAACCGTTCTCATGCTCAAGCACGGATTTTGTGCTCAACCAACTTTCTTGAAACTCTATTAATTCATGTCAAATGATCAAAAAGTCAAATGTAAACATTGAAAATAAAGTCTTTTCATTTTTTTACCAAATCATTGACGAAATAAGGCTTGTTTATAAATTTAAAACGTAAACAAGAAATTAGGCTTGAGCACAAAATCCATGCTTAGAGCATGAGATTGGTTTCATGAATACGGGCCCAGACCATTGTCACCAGAATCATTCTGCATTGACGTGTGCTAATATATATATATAGCTGTCAAAACAAACACTCAGTAATTTAAAGCTGCAACCAAGTCTCGCTGCGTATCTAATTTCCGCTGATCATGCATGTTTTTGCGAAAATCTGCTTGAGTTGCCATGCAATCTCTGTAATATATGTCTCTGCTATTGTGATATATTGATCTTTTGTCTTTAATCATCATATTTCTTATTGTTAAAACTCAGTCTTAAAATCTAGCTTACCGTACTTAATTTTTCTCCAAACCATCCGGATAACTTCATGATACCGATCGGGGAAGCCAGTTTGATGTACATGTACGTAGTACATATGCATTGATCTCTTGCATTTAAAGTCTTATAGATATGTTCATAGACATATACCTGATTGTCGATCTGCACGTGCACAAGTTTGTGTGGCTACCTGCAGCTGCAGTATATATATATTATAACAAGTACAAAATCATTAAGAACATTTTGACATTTCCTTATTAGTATCCTGAAGCAAAAAGTATATTCTGTCGAGATCTTTTAGAAGAATCTTTATTTTCAATGATGTTTTAAAAATAATTTTCACATGATGTAAAATCAGTCATTTTTGTGGATTTTTTTAAAAGGTGAACCTAGGCCTGGCCATCTTTTTTTCAAAATTCCAATTACTAAGAGATATAGTGTGGGCCTTTTGAGTCCAATGGAAAAGCATATAAGTCCTGGAGTCATAATATAAGTCCTGGTACTCTATGACCCAGAAAAAATATATGTACAGAAACAAATTGTACAAATTTGACATCACATGTATATGAAAAGTGTGTGATGCTTTCTTTCTAAAAATGCCAGTGAAAATATATCTAGAAACAGAACAGTTATATACAGGATTTATGTGTTAATATAAAAGGCTGTGACATTCCCTGGATGCCTAGATAGCTAACGGCTAAGTCATATATAGCAAGTGTCAGGTATGTTCCTGACTGCTGCAATATAATATGGTAGAGTGAAAAATAACTGAGGCCAAACAAGTTAGATTTGTGTTTCAAATTTTTCCCAAGGTAAGTCAAAATAAACATATTTAAAGCCAAGGAGACTCAATACAGGGAAATATTTCCAAAATTACTTTTATTGGGAACATAATTTCCCCATAATTGCTCAAATAAGCCAAGTGAGCAATACAGGCCCAAGTGCCTCTTGTTAAAGGTGAAACTCGGGCCTGAGCTATAAAGGCCCCTTCCTTAAGACAATATCTGCTGTATTGTTTTAAAATCAATGCAAAAATCACATTATTTCCCAAAAAATCATGCTTTTTGTGTGTGGTATTTTCCCAAGGCACAGGCCCCTGTCAAACAAGGTAAAAAAGTCACTGACGAATGTGAACTCTTATACCTTATTGGTATCCACAGTAAAATCAACCTAAAACAAAATATCAATGATGCTGTGTCCCCCACCGCACTATTTTGTTAATTTAAAAAAAAAGCTAATAGCTATGACGTTACAATTTAACCATATTGATTTAACAAAAGAGTCATCACACGATGACTGCACTGAAGTTGTTCCCCCCTACTCCTGGGGACTAGCTGGCTGATACCATAGAAACAGTACAGATAACCATAAAGGTAAGAGGTAAAAATTAATTAAGTTCCCACCCAAGACCTCAACCACATTTGCTATAATTAAACATCCTTTGACAAGTTAGGGACATGGGAATCAAAGAGATTTGACTTCCCAGCTAGGGGGTTGATCATGAGTTTTACATAACAAAAGGAACATGTAATGTTTTTATTTCAGACTCCTGGGTTGAGCTGAATACCTCTGGTCCACAGGATCCCCTGGTGCCCCAGTCTATATACAATGGAAACCTGGAGAAACTGCTCATAGATGCACAGAAGGAATCACGCACACCATCACGTGCCAACAGTAAAGAATCCTCTGCCAGGGAAAGGTAACTCATTGCCTACAAATGCTGAGCAGTACTTTTTCGGGATGATCATTCCAAATTGGAATTGTTTCATATTTATGCCTAATTCTCAAAATTTGCAGATTATTCCTGACAATTTCCTTCCCAATTGTTATGTTTAGCCCGCCACCATCAGATGGTGGACTATTCAAATTGCCCTGCATCTGTGGTCGGTCCTTAAACACTTCTTGTTGTCGCTATTTCTCAGAAATTACTGGAATGATCTTTCTCAAATTTGATATTCATGTTCTCCTTGGTACTTTATTTTGTTGTGTATGTTTACTTTTCAGACCAAATTGGATTTTAACAGTTAAGGTTTGATATTTCTCAGAAAGTGCTGGAGGTATCTTTCTCAAACATTATATGTAAGTTCTCTTTGCTCTCTTATCTATAATGGATGTTTATTTTTGAGACTGATCGGGGAAAAAACACCCAAAATAGCTGGCAAGTGACCATATCTTGGACTTTGATAACGAAGGTTTGTTATCTCCGTTTCTCACAGAAGGAACAGGAGGGATCTTTCTCAAATGCATTAATATTATGAAGGTTCTCCTTGGTCTCTTGTTGTGCATGTTTCCTTTTGAGAAAAATTCTCTGCCAGGGAAAGGTAACTTTAATTTTAACCTACAAACTTGTTCATCAGTTAAGAATCCTCATATCACACGCACCATGGGACTAACAGTAAAAAGAAATCTGCCATGGAAAAGTAACTCATAGCCTACAAACCCTTGGCTGAACAGTTGAAACACACCGTGGGATTAACAGTAAAGAATCCTTTGCTAGGGAAAGGTTACACTATGTCCTACAAACCCTGCCAGAGATGAACTATATTCTGATCGCTTTCCGTCGCTTGTTATTTCCCCTTTGCTGTCATGTCATCTATTTTATCACATACTTGTTGAATCTTGTTATAGTAATTATTCAAGCAATTTTCAGACCATGAAAAACAGCGTTCTGTATTGCATATGTGCGATACGGAATGTTGTATTTACCTACTAGCCGGAACTACTTTTAAGCCCACCATCATCTGATGGTTGGCTATTCAAATCACCCTGCGTCCGTGGTCCGTCCGCCGTCCATTGTCCGTCATTCGTCGTCCGTCCTTAAACAATTCTTGTTATCTGTATTTCTCAAGAAGTACCAGAGGGATCTTTCTCAAATTTTATGTGTAGGTTCCCCTTTGTCCCTAGCTGTGCAGGGCAACTTCTGAGACTGATCGGATAAACAACATGGCCGACAGGCTGGCATCTTTGATTTTGACAGTGAAAGTTTGGGAGGGATCTTTCTCAAATTTTATATGTAGGTTCCCCTTGTTCCCTTGTTGTGCAGCAGTGCTTGAAATGGGCGGTCGCCTGCTCGCCTATGGCGGGTAAACCCCTGTTCAAGCGACCAAAAGTTGTCGAAAGTGAGGTAGTCACTGGCCCAACAAAAATAGTTTGGGCGACTGTCGAAAAATTAATGAATGAAAGAAATTATAGTCCCTTCCACATTTACTGGGGGGCAGTACATTTTTCAGTTGTCACTACTTCGATTTGAATTGCACTGTCGGTGATTTAAAAAATGTGATGATTTTTTTTTTCTGATTTTCTATATTAATACTGCCAGGGTGTCTTCTTTGAGGTGTGAGTTTTGTGTATTTCTTTTTGGGAAGATCTGAATGGAGTGGATCATGTCAGGTTTTAACTATGGTTGAAGAATTAAAAATATAATGTTTTATTCTGTTTTACATATTACAAACATTGTCATGTTATATGTAATTTAAATGTGCTGAATCATTGTGTTAATGCTGTGGAAATATTTCTTCCCAAAATTATTTGGGCATGAGGGATATTTCTCAAATTTGATATGTAGGTTCCCCTTGCAATTGATCCCTCTTTGTGCATGTTATATTTTGAGACTGTTCATAAAAGCAAAATTGCTAAAGGAAGAACTAAACAGATCTTTCTCATATTGCAATGATCGATTCTATTTCTTTCACATTAAGTACTGTACTTGTAAATATGTGAAATGACAAAGTCGCTTTGAAGGTTGGCTTTCATACACATCAGTATTAATTATTATTATTATGAGAAGTTCTTTTAACACAACCAATACAATTTTCTATGTGACGTTTCCATGACTAGTACGATATGTACACTGTCATCTTCATCAGACAAATGACCAATGAAGCATATGCACACAAAGGTGTAAAATGTAAAATGTGTACGAGTTGTCCATAAAATCGATGTTGATTTCGGCTACACTGGAAACATATGTACAATAGTTGTTAGATATGTACCGAAATGACTCAATTCAGCTACGCTTTGTTAACACTTGGTCATAGATGTGATATGCAGTTTCAACCATTTTAAATGGTGTTTCACCAGCCTCTTAACTGATCATGACTGTGTTTGTTCTTCTTCATAAAATATTTTATTATGTATGGACATTTCTACACCTTCAGTACTTTGGTTAGAGTCTGTTGGAACACTTGTCATCGTTTATCAATACCGTTATCAAAATTATAACAATGAAATGATGATTAAGAAAATATTTCCAAATGTACAAAGTATTTCTATACTTTTGCGATATTTTCATCAGTGTATGCATGCACAGAATCCCTTACTTAAGTTGTGCAGGGTATGTCAAGTCATTTGAGGCACAGATCACCCACTACAATGTAGTAGATTCCAGTTAGCAAATTATATTACAACCTGATGTTTTTGGGGCCTTTGATACTATTTTATATGAGAAGAAAAGATATAAGGAGTGTTGTGCTATACCTTCAAAGAAACTAAAGAAGATCTTAGTGTGGTTTTGTACCCAAAATGACAATTCCTATGCTAAAAACTTAGTATTTGTGCAAATGATATATTGAAGTCATTCAAATTGGTATTACTCAGAAGTCCTCAGTAGATGTCACCATTGGAGGGATTTTATCCTTATTTGGGATGGAGCATCCTTTGGCAAAGGAGACTTTTTTAATTTCGAATAATTGGAGGGTGTGGCCTCACTGGGTGCACTACTCAGGGGCAGGGTCCAATAGGGGAATTAGAGGTTTAATTAAATCTTCAAAATCCTTCTACTTCTGTACTATTGGAGAGATTTTATCCAAATTTGGTATGGAGAATCCTTTGGCAAAGGGGACGTAATTTTATATAAACTTAAGGGTGGGGCCCCTCTGGGTGCAAAGGGACGGTGCCCAATAGGAGAACTTGAGGTTTACATCTTTTAAATCCTTCTTCTTCTGTACTATTGGAGAGATACTTTCCTGATTTGGCATGGAGCATCCTTTGGCAAAGGAGACTTTTGGTTTTGTTTATATGGAAGGTGTGGCCCCTCTTGTTGCAGGGTCGCGGGGCCCAATAGGGGAAATTGAGGTTGAGATCTTCAAAATTCTTCTTCTGTACTATTGGAGGGATTTTATCTAAAATAAACGGAGGGTATGGCCCCTCTGGGTGCAGAGGGGCAGGGCCCAATAGGGGAATGTGAGGTTTAAATATTCAAAATCCTTCTTTTTCTGTTTATGTACCATTAGAGGGATTTTGTCCAAATCTGGCAATGGAGCACCCTTGGGCAAGGGGGACCCAATATCAAGGAAGAATGTGTCTCCTGACCCCTGGGGACAAAGGGGCAGGGCCCAATAGGGAGAACACAGTAATAAATTATTAAATTTTGTATAAATAGAGGGTTACTTTTAGGGGGCAGAAAGAGACCTAATTGAGGGACGGATGTTGCTGAGAGACAGAGCCAATATTTTGTAATAGTTGTTATATGTTATAAGAATCATTTTCCATGGTTGCCTTGTTTATTATCCAGGTAAGCGATATAGGCCCAAGTCATAAAGTAGTATGTAAATAATCTTACCCATACTTTTATTTCATTCTAAACAATTCCTGTTATCTGCAAAAGTGTGTAATACTTATATTTAATTAGGATGCACAATAAATATTCCAGAACCATTTTGGAAGGCAGATAATTATAAGGATTTAAAGTTTAAAATATGGCAATACCGTGTTTATCTAAATGGAATAAACCTTCAACCTGAATTATCATATTGAAAAGAGTCTTAAGCTGTTTAACATAATGTGATATCTGCCCTTTGAAAATAAAATTTATAGTAAAAAAAGGATACAGAAGACATATTCATGCTGCCAATCCTACAATGCTATAGATGGGCATGCAGTTGCTTCTTTCTTGAAAGTTCAAAAAAGCCTATACGTACACGTAAACACCAATGTGTTTATAAGTGTACCCAGTTAAAACCATAATTAATGGAAACAACTAATAAAATGTTGTTGTTTTTTTCAGCCCAAAGAGCCCGCACAGTCCTAATAATGAGCTGGTGATGCAGGTAATTATTGCCGATTAATTTTCTTCACAGGGACTTAATACAAATTATTTACTTTCAGTTTTTAGCCCTGAAGATCGGTTTGCCCTTTCCAATTACGATTATTGATAACAAATTCCATAATCGATATTATTGGTTCATCATTGAAATCAAAGTGTTAAATGTTTTCAATGGAAACTATGCATTGAAAGTCCTATATCCTTATGGTTTTTATACGCCTGTCAAAATTTCGACGGGTGTATTATGGTATAGCGTCTACGTTCGTTCGTCCGGTTAAAGGTTTGGTGCAAGTTTCTTCAGTGGCGCACAGTTCAGTCAGATCATGTGTTATTGTTCTAGTTTTTGGGATGGATGTGCATGTGGGATTTAATTTGGGAAAATAATTTCTATTTTTGGAAATTTTGGACGTGTTTGGGACTTACCTTTTCTCGCACAATTTCTCAGTTAAAGTTTTGGTGCAAGTTTCTTCAGTGGTGTACAGTTCAGTCTGATCATGTGTTATTGTCATAATATTTGGAATGGATGTTCATGTAGGGTCTAACAAGAACAATATGGATTTAATTTGTGAAAATAATTCCCATTAGGCAGTACTTTAGCAAAGAACCAATTACATTAATGTGAACATTACAGTGATGACAGTCACTCTTCGTAACAAAAGCATCAGTGCAAGCATTTTTATCACATAGACATGACATTGGCTACCAGGTACTTTAAATATCAAACAAACATAAAAATTGGATAGGGTCAGACGGGCATATTATGCATCCGTTTGCGGTGCTCTTGTTACTATGTGATTGACAAAACTGCATAAAAATTGGTTGAAATTCATCCGTTATTAAAGAACGAAACCTAATGTATAGTATAACACTGTCTAGTGATGTATTATAAGTAGTGTTCTCACTTAATTTGGGTATTCTATCACATAAAATTATATCCGATTATGCAAACGATCATCGATCAGTTTACTAATTACGATAATCTTTTATGATTTTAAATTGATTGCCCATCACTAGTGTATAGAGCATCCTTGGTAAAGGGGACTCCATTGTGTATAAATGGAAAGTATTGCCCCCTTAGGGCTGAGGGGCGGGGCCCTATTAGGGGGAATTTAGGTAAATCATTTATAATCCTTCTCCCTCTGTATGAATGGAGGGATTTGAACTAGATTTAGTCTAGAACATCCTTGGGGAAGAGAAATTCACTTTTGTATAAATGGAGGGTGTGACTCCTCTTTGGGCTGAAGGAATGGGCCAAAAAGGGGTTTTGCCATATTGCTAAAAGTGACTTCTCTGGAACAAAGTGATGGATATCAACCATATTGGGTTTGGAACATTCTTCCTTGGTTGAGGATTCAAAATTGCACCAGTTGAAGGGCTGACCCCTGGGTCTGAGGGGCCCTAGGGACTTAATATTGGGCCTCTCGTTCAAAATCTGTTGGTTGTCTTTTTCCCATAAGTAAGCCTTGAATTTTTTTGTAGTCTTTTTTTAATCTCTGCCAATTCAATATCTGTTAGAGGGAATCATTCATTACTCTATACAACCTGAAATTTGGTGGTGATTCATTATTTCAATCAGACGTCTTTGTGTTGCCTTCTGCAATTGTTTACTGCTCAACGATTATTGCTTCTGCTTTCAGGTTGGTCAGATTACCATTTGGCATCAAAAATCCCCTTTTTGATATTTGCAGTAAAGGTTGCCAGATTTAATTGTTTGTAATAGCCTCTCACATTTTATNCTGCCACAAAAAAAATATAGGTTGTCAGAATTTAAAGGATTTGAAATGAAAATTTATGTAAAAAGGAGTGAGTTTTGAAAAAAAAATGAAAGACACAATTTTAGGCAAAATAATGTCAATAAAAATGATACTGACATAGATTAGTATTGCATTAATGTATATCAATTTAATAAATGCTGAAATTGTGTAAAATTAATTATCTATAAACATTTAAAAATTGACATTTTATAATAAAACCATGTACGTATAGTAATTGCATGTAAAGAGTTATCTTTCTTGAAAAACTTCACAGTAGTGAAATAGGTAGCCGGGTTCCTGAAGTACAGAAAAATGGACACATGTGACTCATTGATAAAAAACAACTGAATTAATGCCTGGATTGCTTTGAAATACTTTAATATTGAAACAACACACTGTTCTGTCAATAATAAACATGCAATATTTATCAGCTTAATATTAAACATCAGAATATGCGGAAACTGTGATACTGTCTCCCTACATTGGATTTTCAACTAGTGATGCATTTCCTATTTCTGTTTATCAATACACTCCTATGACCTTAAATCCTTTGAGTATGATTTCTACCAGTCACAGCTGTTTTTAGTAGGAAAGATATTTAAAGTCATAGCTTACCTTGATGGAATATTAATGGGTTGTTACAAATTTGGGAACAGAAATGACCATTACTTAAATATAAGGTCATTGGCTATATTTACTAATATATTTAGATAACTCCTTTTCAATCTGAATAATGAAGAGGCCTACAGTTCAAATGTTTGACATATAAAGGTTGTTAAAATGAAAAAGGTCGCAGAAATAATAAAATATCTTGAAATCTTCGAGGGCACAACTTACATATTGTTCAAATGTATAAGGCAGACTTTTCTGCTTACTTGTACAATTAAAGGGTCATTAACCTTGACCTTTAGATCACAGAGGTTATTTGGTTACAGCTCACCTGGCACCAGCTGCCAGTGAGCTTATGGTATGGGTCAGCATATGTTGTCTGTCATTGATGATTGAAGAAGTTCTTCTAGAATAATGAAAGACCCAAGGTCCTGCTATTTAGCCAGTAAGTACCTGGGATGGAGTGCTTTATGTTTCCTCAAATAAATGACATTGACTTACTTTCAAGGGCACATGGGATCAAATATGTAAATAATCATTTAAATGGCTTCTTCTGAATAACCAAAAGGCCATGGTGATGATATTTGTTCAGTAGCTTATTAAACTGGGATTGAGTGCTACATTTTATAAACTTTTGGCAATAAATGGCCATCACCTGCTTTCAAGGGCGCAGCGGTCAAATATATAAAAAAAAATAAAAAAATTAAAGGACTTCTTCTGAATAACCAAAATGCCAGAGTGATGATATTTGGCCAGTATCATGCCTAGACGAATTGCTATTAAGTTTCCTCAAATAAATGACAGGGACTTTTTTTCAAGGGCACAGGGTTAAAGTGTATTAAATACCTTTTTAAGAACTTCTAACCATGGCCATGATCGAGTCCCAGGGTAATATGATATTTGACCAGTAGTTAACTGGGATGGAGCGCTATACAATTTCCTCAAATAAATGTCCTTTACCTAATATTTGGAATAAGGTTCATCAGTATGGTATGAATAATAAAGACTTAGTTTGTTTTGAACACAAACAGCAATTGAATCTTTTGCCAGCTTTTGAATACGTCTGTTTCCTTTGTCAAGCAAAGAGTGTAAATGACTGGTGTCTCAAGTCTAAATTGCAGAAAACAACTCACAAAGCCACAGTGGGCCGAATCAGTAAAGTTAGCTGCCAAAAATCATAGAGACCTAATTTCCCTCATTAGTACTCTTATACAACAAGGAGATGGGTAACATGTTTACCTATTCGGTCCCACTCTAACACACAACATCATAGACTGGGAAAACTGGAATAAGCTTGAAAGGGAGAACAATGGAAAAGTCAGGAATCCATTTGGGTAAGGAGAGAAGGTGAATCACTGAACAGAGAAGGGGGCCCGGGCTAGCAGCTGATCATGAGTCACCTTTATGACCCCATTTTAGTACCATCCACTTAGGAGTGGATTGGGTAAACATATGTTACCCAGCCCCTGACTGCTTGCAGTATTGTAGTGCTATTTTAGTAGGGCGAGGAATATTGATAAATATAGTCCCATCGCTGGGGCTTGAACCTGCGACCCTAGGCTCTCCAGCCCAATGCTCTACCACTTAGCTAAAGAGAAATTCCCGATATATGATGCTTGTAAGGCAACCTAATCAATGCACATCTTTTACTGGGCGAAGTGTCGAAGCATTAACCCAAGGAGACCCAGCTTTTTCGAAGGGGATATACTTGTGTATTTGTCCCACCCTACACAGGTGTGTTTTCCTTTTAAGACAGAAAAGACCAGCTTGTCACCCCCTAGGGGGAGAAAGACTCGTGCAGAATGGCAGGATCTAAGTCAGAACAATAGTATGATGTCACATGTACATCATCAATGCATTGACATCACATCAACGAGTAGCTATAGTAGACCATGGAAAAAAACTCTGCATTTGCTGGGAAAACATGCAAAAAACGCTTATATTTCATGCAATCATTGCTTGTCAGCGGATTTGTGAGTGAAACAGGATGGGATAAAAACAATCTTCCCCTACCTTGAGGATGTGACAGAAAAATCTCTGACTTTCAGGATGCAGTCTTGACATTCGGCTAAGCCTCGGGTAAGATAAACAAGAATATCATCCCTAGGGTTGGAGCTTTCTCTGTCACTCTCAAGGTAGGGGAAGATTCTATTAATCATGAAAAAAACTAATTTTCTTCATGCATGTTTATTATCAGATGGATTATGCTTTTGTGCTTGCATTTTGAGATGACCGCAGTTATTGAACATATATTCATTGATGCAGTAGGATTATTACCGGGTACAAATTTGATCATCAATGTTCAAAAAGCATACAGTGCTAAATTAACAACTGCACAGCAAGTTTCTGAAATATGTTTTTGAAACCTATTTTTCTGTTTCATATAAAAAAAAATACAGCATGTGAGCTGTTTTAAGGCCCCTGGGCCTCTATTTGACAAAAGCATATGAATATATTATAATAGACAGGTTCACAATTGCTTTTTGCTTCCAGATGATTTTGATGCTACATGTGTATACTAACAAGGTTGTATGACTTGTAGGACGCAGACAGAGACCCAGGAACAGACTGGATCTGGGATTGGTCTAGTAGACCCGAGGCTCACCCTCCAAGGTATGTGAACACTTACGTTCTCCGTTCAGGATATGTATGTGTGTGGGATATAGGAGTAACAAAGGTTAGGGATGCTCACATTTTCCCTCCAGGATATGTTAGTGTATAAGAAAGGAGTAACAAAGGGTTTGAGACACTGACATAATTCTCCCAGGATATGTATGTGTGTGGGATAGAAGTAACAAAGAGTTTGGGACACTAATATACTCCTTCCAGGATATGTATGTGTGTGGGATAGAAGTAATGAAGGGTTTGGGACACTAATACACTCCTTCCAGGATATGTATGTGTGTGGGATAGAAGTAACAAAGAGTTTGGGACACTAATATACTCCTTCCAGGATATGTATGTGTAAAGGATAGAAGTGACAAAGGGTTTGGGACACTAATATACTCCTTCGAGGATATGTATGTGTGTGGGATAGAAGTAATGAAGGGTTTGGGGCACTAATACGCTCCTTCCAGGATATGTATGTGTGTGGGATAGCAGTAACAAAGGGTTTGGGACACTAACATAATCCTTCCAGGATATGTATGTGTATAAGATTGAAGTAACAAAGGGTTTGGGACACTAATATACTCCTTCCAGGATATGTATGTGTAAAGGATAGAAGTAACAAAGGGTTTGGGACACTAATATACTCCTTCCAGGATATGAAAGTGTGTGGGATAGAATTAACAAAGGGTTGGGGACACTAATATACTGCTTCCAGGATATGTAAGTGTGTGTGGGATAGAATTAACAAAGGGTTGGGGACACTAACATAATCCTTCCAGGATATGAAAGGGTGTGGGATAGAAGTAATGAAGGGTTTGGGACACTAACATAATCCTTCCATGGTATGTATGTGTGTCGGATAAAAGTAACAAAGGGTTTAGGACACTAATATACTCCTTCCATGATATGTAAGTGTGTGTGGGATAGAAGTAACAAAGGGTTGGGGACACTAATATACTCCTTCCAGGATATGTAAGTGTGTGTGGGATAGAAGTAACAAAGGGTTTGGGACACTAATATACTCCTTCCAGGATATGAAAGTGTGTGGGATAGAAGTAACAAAGGGTTTGGGACACTAATATACTCCTTCCAGGATATCTAAGTGTGTGTGGGATAGAAGTAACAAAGGGTTGGGGACACTAATATACTCCTTCCAGGATATGTAAATGTGTGTGGGATAGGAGTAACAAAGAGTTTGGGACACTAATATACTCCTTCCAGGATATGTATGTGTATAAGATAGAAGTAACAAAGGGTTTTGGACACTAATATACTCCTTCCAGGATATGTATGTGTGTGGGATAGGAGTAATAAAGGGTTTGGGACACTAATATACTCCTTCCAGGATATGTATGTGTGTGGGATAGAAGTAACAAAGGGTTTGGGACACTAACATAATCCTTCCATGGTATGTATGTGTGTGGGATAGAAGTAATAAAGGGTTTGGGACACTAATATACTCCTTCCAGGATATGTATGTGTATAAGATAGAAGTTACAAAGGGTTTTGGACACTAATATACTCCTTCCAGGATATGTATGTGTGTGGGATAGGAGTAATAAAGGGTTTGGGACACTAATATACTCCTTCCAGGATATGTATGTGTGTGGGATAGAAGTAACAAAGGGTTTGGGACACTAACATAATCCTTCCATGGTATGTATGTGTATAAGATAGAAGTAACAAAGGGTTTGGGACACTAATATACTCCTTCCAGGATATGTATGTGTATAGGATAGAAGTAACAAAGGGTTTGGGACACTAATATACTCCTTCCAGGATATGTATGTGTGTGGGATAGAAGTAACAAAGGGTTTGGGACACTAACATAATCCTTCCATGGTATGTATGTGTATAAGATAGAAGTAACAAAGGGTTTGGGACACTAATATACTCCTTCCAGGATATGTATGTGTGTGGGATAGAAGTAACAAAGGGTTTGGGACACTAACATAATCCTTCCATGGTATGTATGTGTATAAGATAGAAGTAACAAAGGGTTTGGGACACTAATATACTCCTTCCAGGATATGTATGTGTGTGGGATAGAAGTAACAAAGGGTTTGGGACACTAACATAATCCTTCCATGGTATGTATGTGTATAAGATAGAAGTAACAAAGGGTTTGGGACACTAATATACTCCTTCCAGGATATGTATGTGTGTGGGATAGAAGTAACAAAGGGTTTGGGACACTAACATAATCCTTCCATGGTATGTATGTGTATAAGATAGAAGTAACAAAGGGTTTGGGACACTAATATACTCCTTCCAGGATATGTATGTGTGTGGGATAGGAGTATGTAAGGGTTGGGGACACTAACATAATCCTTCAAGGATATGTATGTGTATAAGATAGAAGTAACAAAGGGTTTGGGACACTAATATTCTCCTTCCAGGATATGTATGTGTGTGGGATAGAAGTAACAAAGGGTTTGGGACACTAACATAATCCTTCCATGGTATGTATGTGTATAAGATAGAAGTAACAAAGGGTTTGGGACACTAATATACTCCTTCCAGGATATGTATGTGTGTGGGATAGAAGTAACAAAGGGTTTGGGACACTAATATACTCCTTCCAGGATATGTATGTGTGTGGGATAGAAGTAACAAAGGGTTTGGGACACTAATATACTCCTTCCAGGATATGTATGTGTGTGGGATAGAAGTAACAAAGGGTTTGGGACACTAATATACTCCTTCCAGGATATGTATGTGTGTGGGATAGAAGTAACAAAGGGTTTGGGACACTAATATACTCCTTCCAGGATATGTATGTGTGTGGGATAGAAGTAACAAAGGGTTTGGGACACTAATATACTCCTTCCAGGATATGTATGTGTGTGGGATAGAAGTAACAAAGGGTTTGGGACACTAATATACTCCTTCCAGGATATGTATGTGTGTGGGATAGAAGTAACAAAGGGTTTGGGACACTAATATACTCCTTCCAGGATATGTATGTGTGTGGGATAGAAGTAACAAAGGGTTTGGGACACTAATATACTCCTTCCAGGATATGTATGTGTGTGGGATAGAAGTAACAAAGGGTTTGGGACACTAATATACTCCTTCCAGGATATGTATGTGTGTGGGATAGAAGTAACAAAGGGTTTGGGACACTAATATACTCCTTCCAGGATATGTATGTGTGTGGGATAGAAGTAACAAAGGGTTTGGGACACTAACATAATCCTTCCATGGTATGTATGTGTATAAGATAGAAGTTACAAAGGGTTTGGGACACTAAAATACTCCTTCCAGGATATGTTTGTGTAAAAGATAGAAGTAACAAAGGGTTTGGGACACTAATATACTCCTTCCAGGATATGTATGTGTGTGGGATAGGAGTATGTAAGGGTTTGGGACACTAATATACTCCTTCCAGGATATGTTAGTGTATAAGATAGAAGTAACAAAGAGTTTGGGACGCTAATATACTCCTTCCAGGATATGTATGTGTATAAGATAGAAGTAACAAAGGGTTTGGGACAATATTATACTCCTTCCAAGATATGTATGTGTGTGGGATAGAAGTTACAAAGGGTTTGGGACACTAACATAATCCTTCCATGGTATGTATGTGTATAAGATATGAGTAACAAAGGGTTTGGGACACTAATATACTCCTTCCAGGATATGTTAGTGTATAAGATAGAAGTAACAAAGAGTTTGGGACGCTAATATAATCCTTCCAGGATATGTATGTGTATAAGATAGAAGTAACAAAGGGTTTTGGACACTAATATATTCCTTCCAGGATATGTTTGTGTATAAGATATGAGTAACAAAGGGTTTGGGACACTTATATACTCCTTCCAGTATATGTATGTGTATTAGATAGAAGTAACAAAGGGTTTTGGACACTAATATACTCCTTCCAGGATATGTATGTGTATAAGATAGAAGTAACAACGGGTTTGGGACAATATTATACTCCTTCCAGGATATGTATGTGTGTGAGATAGGAGTATGTAAGGGTTGGGGACAGTAACATAATCCTTCAAGGATATGTATGTGTATAAGATAGAAGTAACAACGGGTTTGGGACAATATTATACTCCTTCCAGGATATGTATGTGTATAAGATAGAAGTAACAACGGGTTTGGGACAATATTATACTCCTTCCAGGATATGTATGTGTGTGGGATAGGAGTATGTAAGGGTTGGGGACACTAACATAATCCTTCAAGGATATGTATGTGTATAAGATAGAAGTAACAAAGGGTTTGGGACACTAATATTATCCTTCCAGAATATGTATGTGTGTGTTGGATAGGAGTAAGTAAGGGTTTGGGACACTAATATACTCCTTCCAGGATATGTATGAGTGTGGGATAGGAGTAACAAAGGGTTTGGGACACTAATATACTCCTTCCAGGATATGTATGTGTGTGTTGGATAGGAGTAAGTAAGGGTTTGGGACACTAATTTACTCCTTCCAGGATATGTATGTGTGTGGGAAAGAAGTAACAAAGGGTTTGGGACCCTAATATACTCCTTCCAGGATATGTATGTGTGTGTTGGATAGGAGTAAGTAAGGGTTTGAGACACTAACATAGTCCTTCCATGGAATGTATGTGTGTGTGATAGGAGTAACTAAGGGTTGGGGACACTCGCATTCTCCCTCCATGGTATGTATATGTGTGTGTGGGATAGAAGTAACAAAGGGTTGGGAATGCACACATTCTCCCTCCATGGTATGTATGTGTGTGTGTGGGATAGAAGTAACAAAGGGTAGGGAATGCACACATTCTCCCTCCATGGTATGTATGTGTGTGTGGGATAGGAGTAGGAAAGGGTTGGGGACAGTCACATTCTCCCTCCATGGTATGTATGTGTGTGTGTGGGATAGGAGTAACAAAGGGTTGGGGATGCACACATTTTCCCTCCATGGTATGTATGTGTGTGTGGGATAGGAGTAGGAAAGGGTTGGGGACAGTCACATTCTCCTTCCATGGTATGTATGTGTGTGTGTGGGATAGGAGTAACAAAGGGTTGGGGATGCACACATTTTCCCTCCATGGTATGTATGTGTGTGTGGGATAGGAGTAGGAAAGGGTTGGGGACAGTCACATTCTCCTTCCATGGTATGTATGTGTGTGTGTGGGATAGAAGTAGGAAAGGGTTGGGGACAGTCACATTCTCCTTCCATGGTATGTATGTGTGTGTGTGGGATAGAAGTAACAAAGGGTAGGGAATGCACACATTCTCCCTCCATGGTATGTATGTGTGTGGGATAGGAGTAGGAAAGGGTTGGGGACAGTCACATTCTCCCTCCATGGTATGTATGTGTGTGTGTGGGATAGAAGTAACAAAGGGTAGGGAATGCACACATTCTCCCTCCATGGTATGTATGTGTGTGTGGGATAGGAGTAGGAAAGGGTTGGGGACAGTCACATTCTCCTTCCATGGTATGTATGTGTGTGTGTGGGATAGAAGTAGGAAAGGGTTGGGGACAGTCACATTCTCCTTCCATGGTATGTGTGAATATCGCTGTACATTTAAGTATAATTGAAGGTTACAATTAATCCATAAGATATGAAACTTAAAAGATTCAAATTTCTGATGTGTCAAATTGTTTGCAAAATCCTGGTTATTTCCATTATATAATACTACTGATAATTAAATTATAAGGTCAACTTTTTGAGACAAAGTTTTTTCTGTTTTGAATTATAATCAAGGTCTGATCTTTATGAAAACACTGAAAATTACAACTTATAAATCAAACCTATAATTTTAACACTTAAATTTGCAAAATCAAGTGTATAAATACATGTACAAATATTTCAGTATAAACAAGATCTCAAAATTCACAAGTCAAAGTCTAGATGTTTCCAAATTTTCCTGATGGTCCCACAAAGTTCAAAACATGAAAGTTTGACTGTAGATGTTTTGATTTGTTTCCGTAATAACTCACTTCTCAAATTGCAGTGATTGGAGTGGAAGATTTAAACACCGCATTAGTCGAGACAAACTGACTGCCAGGAATACTCGAGTAACGAAGAACGGCGTGTTCACCATTGACAATCTACCCCAACTTCTCCTCACACATGCCTGTTCCTTCTTCTTGGGGGCTGCAGTGTAAGTCAACTGCTTATAAATGTTCCTTAAGGTGTCTATAACCATACAAGATTATAAAAGGAGACATTTTCATTTTACAAGCCTATATGGTGAACTCAAAGAGACATCGCATGAAGAGCCATATTTTTTTTTAATGAATACATCTGTTGTATGCACTTTCACTTATGCTACCTTGCTATCCCCATATTCATAGTCCGTTCCAAATGTCCAGTTTGACCACTTGAATTGTTCGGGAAAGCCCTGTTAAAAATAACGCCAATAATGGCACGTGACGATTCCCCTTTGTCCTTAGCTGTGCAGAGCAATTTTTGAGACTGATCGGATAAACAACATGGCTGACAGGCAGCCATCTTGGATTTTGATATTGAAAGTTTTTGTTATCGCTTTTTCTCAAGAAGCACCAGAGGAATCTTTCTCAAATTTAATATGTAGGTTCCCCTTGGTCCTTAGCTGTGCAGGGCAACTTTTGAGACTGATCGGATAAACAACATGGCCGACAGGCAGCCATCTTGGATTTTGATATTGAAAGTTTGTTACCACTATTTCACCGGAAGAACTAGAGGGATCTTTCTCAAATTTTAAATGTAGGTTCCCCTTGATCCCTTGTGCATGTTATATTTTGAGACTGATCATAAAAACAAAATGGATTAAAAGAAGAACAAAACAGATCTTTCTCATATTGCAATGATCGATTCTATTTCTTTCACATTAAGTACTGTACTAGTAAATATGTGAAATGACAAACTCACTTTGGAGGTTGGCTTTCATGCACATCAGTATTAAGTTTAGATCAAAAGTGACCTCAAGGTGCATTTACTGCTAACATGTCTCGATCAAACAGATTAGAGGAAAGAAGAGAAAAGATCAAACTGAAAAAGAACTAATGAAGATGGTACAAAGGTGGGCGCCAAGATCCCTCTGGGATCTCTTGTCTTTAATCAATTCCTTTCATCCGAAACAGAAGCTGTATAGTTATCAGCAGCACACGCCATTTTTACAACATAAACAATTAAATGACTTTTTTGCCTGTTTTCAATGCGTATTCCGATTCTATCTGAAGCGGAAATTAATTATTTATAGAAAAAAAGTTGTTGCATGATCATACATTCTAAGTCAACATCATATGTAAACATGAACTGTTGAAACATTACGATTTAAAAAGTGTTTTTGTCATGCAATCCTTTTTACTATAAGTAGGTTCTCCTTCCTCAGTTATTCATCCTGAACCGTCATTTTGATATATTTAAATCTTGCATGTAAATAAAGAAAAACGTTTACTGCAGCAATATAATTAAATCATACCATTTTACTGAACCTAGGAATACTGTAAATTATGTAAATCTAATAGTGCACGTATCTCATTTGACTCCGAGTACCGACAGAGGTGTGAACAGAATACGCCGTGGCCATCACAACAGTTATCCCTGGGAGGGCCTCATAGCAAAATCAAACTTACCAGTCACTTATCCCTTCCTTTCGCATAAGCTACTGTATAATTTTTAGAAACACAAAGTAAACTCTATCCAATACATGCCCGTTGACATAACAAAATAAGTTCATCTGTGTTCCAACTTAGACAAAGATCCTAGCTAGGTTAATATTTTTAGATATTTAATCATAAAGTAAACAGCATTTCTGTCGATTCCATTTCAACTTTATACCGGCTATCCGGAAGAAAACATGCACCGTACAAACTGCTAGGGCAGTTATTTCCTCCTTTGAATACTTCCCAACTGCAATAATGATTTCGTAACGTAATCTTTGCGCTATCTTTTGACCATTTGGCAACTTTTCGCTTCGTAGCTAATGCTGTAACAGTTTTCACACACCAACACCTCCCACGGCTGGACATTTTGTTTACAATGAATTGGCCTGCTATGCGCATGCGTTGATGGAGGGAAATCCTTGATAAAAAACATTGGTCAGACAGGAAGAAATCCCGATAAATATCATAAAATTATTCACTTTTATGAATATATATCATATATATATTCATAAATATATATCAGCCAAATCCTATCGTTATTTTCCATAAGGAGATCTAGACTCACTTGATATGTTTATGTAGTATTTGAAAAAAAAAAAAAGAAAAATACACTTCACCGTGATGTCCCTTTAAAGAAAAAAAGTGAAACAAGTTTCATAAATCAAATGTGTCTGAAATAAGAAAGGAAACTACAGAGCTTTTATATTGTCTTTTTAGCCCACCACCATCAGATGGTGGGCTATTTAAGTCAACCTTCCTCCGTGTCTGGAATCCATCTGTCTGTCATTAAGCCTGTCCATCCTTAAACAATTCTAATGTTAGCGCTATTTCTCACAAAGCACAAGGTATCTTTCTCCAATTTCATGTGAAGGTTTCCATGGTCCATTATATAGTTACCCATTTCAAATTCTGGGACTGATCGCAAAAACCAAAATGATTGACAGACAGCCTTCTTGAATTTTGAGAGTTGAAGTAATGTTAGCACTATTCAGGGGCGGATCCAGGATTTCCTAAAAGGGGGGGCCGAGAAATTTTTCTCAATAGTCAACGGTGTGCTGCGAAAGGCAGCAGCCCGAGCGCGTAGCGCGAGGAGGGGGAGGGTACAGACCCCCTCCCTGTAAGGGGGGTC